ACAAAGTACTTACATTGAGTGACAAGAAATTTCACGACATAAACATAGAAAAACTCAAAAAGATTCTAAAAAGTAATAGCTACCCATGATTCAATAATAAAAGGCAAGGCGAATTAATATAATGTGATTACAAAAGTAAGGAGTAAGGAGTACAAAAACAAAAATTTAGATGTATTTTGTTTTTGCTTTGGCGGCATACTGTCAAAATCTGTAAGAGTGTGTGTAGAAATTCAAACAAAATTTTTCAATTTGATATCAGAATCCGTGCGGCGAAACTCATACACAAAATCAGCTCAGCTAGTAACCATGATACAAAAAAGAAGGTAGTTTCATTTAATGACATTCGTTGTTGTTGTTAACCATTTAACTTTTAATCAAATTATGACATTTCATTAAATTCATGCTACCTGATCACTAGAAGAAATATTTTTTTTTAACCAGAAGATTTTATCAGTACATTCAACGATGTGGAATATGATAAACTAGAAAATTATGCCGGCTACATGATTTCGAAAATGGGGTTGACGACTAGGTTCAGAAAGCATGACGAAAGTGTATGCTTACATATCGTCGCTTAAAGTACAAAACCGCGTACCGTCGTTCTGCAAAACCGCGTAATTGACATTTTTTGCCAAAAATGGGATTTGCTCACACAAGCTCTTGGCTCAAGCCTTATCCATTCGTCCTGAAATGCGATTTCTTTTACTCTCTACAAACAATTAATGCAACTGCGTATGTGACAGTTTTGCATTTTGTCGATACACGGTTTTGTACTTTAAACGAGGATCTGTTAGTTGTTTATCGGAGGGCGATCTCTTCAAGCCGACTTCAGGTATTTTGCATAAATTAAGAATTTGTTAAATTTAATGATGATGCGCTAATCACAAAGCCTAATTATTTGCAAAATCTGATGAGAAATGTAAAAGTAAATTTGAACTAAAATATAAAAAGGTTTTATTTGGGAAGAACATTATTTAGAATTCGACTTTTAAATCGCAAGATTGCATTCAAAAAAAGAAAACAAAAAAATAACAGAATAATGCGCGCGTGGTTTTTATTACAAAATGAAAAGAACAGTTACAATGAAGTCTCCTTTAACAGTTTACATTTTAAATATTTTTAATAAAAAAAAACGTAAGTAAAAAAAAGTACCAAGCACTAATAATGGTTTTTGATTTGAAATGTTATTACATTGGTATAAATATGGGAAAGAAAATACTCCGATTTATTGTTTTAATATTATCAAAGTGGCAAGGCCGTTGATAATACTCACAATTTATGAAACTTCAAAAAATTTTATTATCCGCCAAAAGTTGTTTATTGAAACTACCTTCTTTTTTGTATCATGCTAGTAACACCACCTTTTATTAATTCGCCTTGATA